CGGGGAAGAAGAAACAGGCCATTATGATTAGCATGTATAGTGCATGGGGGGCACAGGGAGGGCTGTGCAACACAGAGAAGACAAGTAGTGATTTGCAGCATCTTACTATGCAGATGGACAGTGACTGTGAAGGGGTATTTTGGGGGGACTTGGTGAAGCGGGGAGCCTAGTAAACATAATGTTCTTCATATAATTGTAGATTAATTATACCAAAATAAAAAAAATTTTCCAGTCTTATCAGAGGAAAAGCCAGAGAGAAGCTCCCTCTCCATTCACTGTGGTCCATTAGTATGATTAATATTATATATTCCCAGGCACTTGATATTGGCAAGATGGCAAGATACCTGGCAAGACCACAGTTTATTATCAATCTACCCCCTATCTTAAGCTGTCTAATCTGACCTCTGGGGTGTTGGGTTGATATAAATCCTAAAATGCAAACTCCTTCCTCTAATTTTCCTGCTCACAGCTTAGGACTAAGAAAGCCAGTCACAGGTCAGGTTGGTGGAAAGAAGATGAACTTTGGTCTCACAAATTCTGGGCCCAAATCCCTGTCCCACCATCAAGAAACAATGTGACTTTTGGGTAAGTCACTTCATTCCTCTGATCCTCAGTTTCCTCATTTCTACCTCTAAAGGCTCTTGTTAGGTTTTGAAATGGCTTTTCTGTGTCTCAGCAAATGATAAGTACCTCATTAAGTTTATGTTTTCCTTTTTTACCCAAATCCTAGCTTTTTTTTCCCAAGAAGTCAGTGGAAGAGTGAGGATGGTTAAAAGTAAGATATTCTTATTGCTGTAGTTCTTAATCTCAGCTGTATTGTACCAAAAGCACCTCTTACATTGGGGGAGACAGCAGTATATTCTCCCATCTATTCTCTGTTTGTGTAAAGGGCACAAGTACCTAGTGCTTGGACTATTATGGGAAGGAAGAGAGAGAAGGCTTCAGCATGTGCGGCCTCAAACTAATGGTTTTTAATTTTTAATTTTGATATCATTAATGTACAATTACTTGTACACCATTATGGTTACTAGACTCCCCCTATTATCAAGTCCCCCCCCCCAAATACCCCATTACAGTCACTGTCCATCAATATAGTAAGATGCTATAGAATCATTACTTGTCTTCTCTTTATATACTGCCTTCCCCATTTCTCCACCCTCCTACATTATGTGTGCTAATCCTAATGCCCTGTTTTCCCCCTTACCCCTCTTTTCACACCCATCCTCCCCAGTCCCTTTCCCTTTGGTAACTGTTAGTCCATTCTTGGGCTCTGTGAGTTTCCTGCTGTTTTGTTTCTTCAGTTTTTTCTTTGCTGTTATACTCCACAGATGAGTGAAATCATTTGATACTTGTCTTTTTCCACCTGGCTTATTTCACTGAGCATAATACCCTCTAGCTCCATCCATGTTGTTGCAAATGGTAGGATTTGTTTTCTTTGTTCTACTGATGGTATCCTTGCTGTACAGAAGCTTTTTAGTTTTATATAGTCCCACTTGTTCATTTTTGCTTTTGTTTCCCTTGTCTGGGGAGATATGTTCATGAAGAAGTTGCTTATGTTTATGTCCAAGAGATTTTTGCCTGTATTTTTTTCTGAGAGTTTTATGGTTTCATGACTTACATTCAGGTCTTTGATCCATTTTGAGTTTACTTTTGTGTATGGGGTTAGACAATCTCAAACTAATGTTTTGTTTCAACTATCTGCCACATTTCTCTTTGGCAAATGGAGAAGAACAACCTCAGAAGCTTAGTTAAATCTTTCTGCAAGCATCAGCCAAGAGCAATTATGCTGAGTGAAGCAGAGGGGATCTAATTTAGCTGTGAAGAAGGACTTTCCAACAGTGGTAAGAATGAAAAGCAGCCCTTAGAAAATTCTGAGTGATGGGGAAATTTCAACTACTTCCATCCAATGATTGGGGTGGGGGGATGGAGGGTATCTCTGGGATTCAGGACTGCTTCCTACCCAGTCCTCTTTGGTATTACCTGTCCTGCACTATCATGTACTCTGAAGAAGGAATGCTATTTAGAATGCAGAAGCTTCTTTATTGTAGTGAGCTTAGATCTTTGGTGGGAGGTGATAACATGTCCTCTTAAGCTTGGCATAGGCTTTCACGTAAATCAGCGTTATGCAGTTTCTGCTCGTCACTCCCTTGACTTTGATGTCCAGATTTGCTGAAGCTCTGAAACAGTTCCAGCCCCCTCAGAATCCTAAGCCTTTTCACCTGTACCCCCATGTCTGGCCCTAAAGTGCTGGTCAAATCTCCTTTTGCATCTCCTATCCCTTGATTCAGATGCCCCCAGCTTCCTGGGACTCCTAGCTCCAGAATGCCCCGGTACCATCCTCTGCTCATACTGGCCCTCACCTAGCTTTACAGCTTTAAAAATACTTGATTGTTCCTCCTTGAACTTTCTCAGTTCAGCTCTTCTAAAAACCCAAGTGTCTTCAGACCTATTTCCCTCACCCACAATAGCATGTGAGATGTTTCGCCCTTATTTCCTTGTCTTCTCTATACAAACACTGGAATAAACCTTATCATATCAAAACCTAATTGTCAGGATTACTCTAGCCCCAGGAAGATTGAGCTAACTCAATTCAAACAGGATCATAGTAGGGAATGGGGTGGGGAGAGATCAGAAATTCTGCCCATATACACATGAGGTATTTTATAAGGACGTAGGAAACAAAAGTGTGTTTCTCTGGCCGTCTTGAAAAAGAGAGTACCTTAGCTGCTTCTGCTGTACTCTGGAGACAGGGGAATTACTGTGTTGGGTCCCTCCTAGCTGAGAGTTTCAATTTTAACCTTCAAGCAAAGTCCACCTGCTTGAACATAATCACCATGACCAGCCTCTGTCTGGTGAAGTGGTTGTGTGTGTGTGTGTGTATGGTGGGGGAGTTGGAGATCATTACTTCCTTGGCTCCCCTCAAAATTTCCTGCTTATATTATTTCAACAACTTAACTGAGCTCCTTGTCTTCTCTATTACCCCCGAATCCATTTTCCACACTGGTTGCCCCATCTTGGGTAAGTCCTTTCCTCTTTCTGATCCTCAGTTCCCTTGATCTGAATGGGGGCTGGACTAAAAGTCAAGGATATCAAACTCAAGTTTGATAGTTTATGCTTTCCCCTCATTTCTCACCCTTCTCTTCCCCAAGGGCCAACCCCAACCTTCTCTCTTGCCCCTTCTTTCCATCAACTTCTTTAGCTTCCCTACCCTCTGACGTCCCTTCCCCTGCTTGGACTAGGACCACTTCTCTTTTAGGTATGTTGGGTGGTAGGGGAGTGTTGGCATGGGACCTGGGGAATGACACACAGGGGACTTCCACTTTCCAGAATGGATAATGAAAGTTGAAGTCTTCAGTCAATTTCCCTTCCCCCATTATAAACTTAGCCTATTTCCAGGCCCTTGTGGGCTCTAGAACGTGAATGAGGGAATCAGTGAGTTCCTTGAACTACTGGGAAAAAAGGGCCATGACAATATCAAAGAATGTGATTGGCTGTCATTGGTATCCCTGCTCCTGTGTCTTTCTGGGGAGTGCATCTCTTCCTCCAGTCAACTGCTCAGTTCAAGGAAATGGTTTGGGCAGGGAACTTTCATTACCCAAGCTCACGTCAACGAATCTTGGCAGCAGTGAGAGAAACTGAGGCACGCTGACTTGCAGGCACACTTGAACTGAGAAAACAGAGGAGCACGAGATAGGACTGGTGATTCCTGAATGCAAATACAAGGCCAGTCATTATACAACCTTGCTAGACTCATCCATTGTCCCAGGAGTCTACTTCCTTTCTCCTTTTATGTTGGAGTGGGAGAGGACCTTGGAAGCATAGCACTCTAGCCCTTTCTTGTTAGAGAAGGGGAAACTATAGCCGAGAGGGGAAGGGACTTATCAATGGCCACACCGTGGTCACAGAGTGAGTTAATGGCAAAACTACAACTAGAAGCCAGGTGTCCTGACCATCTCTCACAAATATCCTTTCCACTGCTTCAAGATGGCTCATCATCCCTGAGGTAAGTGATACACTGTCTCACAAAGAATACTCAGACCATGCCTCTAAAGTTGCCATCAGATGGGAGAAAAAAGGTCTAAGGCCAGTCACTTTCAAACTAAAACCCAGACTTAGCCACACAACAGTCTAGAACACTGCTGTCCTGGCATCCTGTGACCTTGACAAGAAGAAGAAAGGGTGCTGGCAGGCACATCCCAAGGGAGTGTGGGAGGGAGGGTGCATCTAAACTCTGAGAATTATAGCCTTATCATAAAGTGAACACCTACATCAGTGAATGTGTTGGGGGAAGGGCTAAAGGATCAGGGCACTGATTTGAAGAAGGTGGAGACTGGGATTTGAAGGAAGCAAAGTGAGGAGAGGACAGATATGGGGAAGAGGAGCCTAATTCTTATGAAAATGGGGATTGAACAAGGATGGAGAGGAAATATGATGGGAAAAAATGATATAGAATCCTAAATAAGAGAATGGACAAAGTGTTGGAGGAACTGAGGCAGTTTAGTCAAGTGAAAAGTGTCAGGGGGTCATTCGGTCTTTAGATCTTGGAACAGTTGTTAGGGACAGCAGGGGATTTGTGTGGCCCCAGGAAGCAGAGCTGAGGTCCACATGCAGAACCACAGAGAGGAGTTCAGATACCCGCGGAAGAACTTTTTAAGAGTCAGAGATGTCTTGAGAGGGAACGTCACATTTTATAGGCAGCGAGCTCCTCCAGGGTGCGGCCCAGGGTCCAGCCCTGCTTGGGGGTGGGGCAGAATGGCCCGGATGAGGAGAGCTGGGGGCTGTGAAGGGGGTGTGAGAACCAGGGTGGGCCTGGGTCGCGGGGTGGAGTGACCCCCCCCCCACGCACTCGGGACACCCAGGCCCAGCTCGGCCCCCACGTGGCTAGTTTGACCAGGTTGAGCAGGGCTGCGCTGGGCGGGGCGAGGCTGACGGCCCGCGAGAAGGCGGGCGCGAGGGCGGGGAGCGGCGCGGAAGCCCAGCCACATAAAGGAGCGGGTGGCGCGACCGGGGCGGTTCTTTCCTGGGTGGGGTTTGTGAAGTCGTGGCCCGTTAGCAGGAAGTCGAGCAAGTCTCCTGGACGCTAGCGAGGGACCAAATCCGAACCCCCAGCCCCTGTACTTAGAGCCGTGTGTAGTGTGTGCTCAACCCTGCCCGACAGCGCCAAGCCGAACTTCGCTAACTTCGTCGCCTTTGCCGCCACCATGCCCAAGACGGTGAGTGCCGGGAGTGGGCACTGTCGGCCTCAGAGTCTCTAGCTGACTCTTGTAGCCCCTTGCTGATGGCTACGGGCTTGGCCAGCTGCCCGCCTGCTTAGGACGGCGCTCCCTCCGCCGAGGCCTGGGGTAGGAAGTGGCTGGCATGGAGTCCTGATCTGGCATTCACTCGGGGTTGAGGTGGTTCCGGGCCGAAAGTGTGGAACCCGAGGAGCGGCCCTCCTTCTCATATTCTAGTTCCCAGCGGATTCACATCCCAGAGGATGTGACAGTAGGAACCGCTTCTTTGGGGGTCCAAGGTGTCTTGCTCGTGACGGGCCATGGACACGGAAAAAGAACACTTACCCCAGTCCAGGAACTGGCGCCTGTTTGGGGCAAGCCTGCCACTGTCCAGGAGACGCTGGGGGTCCACAATCAGGGATGAGGGGGGCAGCTGCTTAGGACGGATTCCGCACCCCCACTCACCTTTCCCACAGCCTTCCCAGATGGCTCCAGCTGTTTCCCACTAGGAGGGGCGGAGAGAGTTGTAGAGGGCTCATCGAGGCTGTTTGCTTTTACCCAGGCGCGTTAACTCTTCACTAGGCGCCAGTCTGAGGAGTGGTCTGCTGCCTACTTCCTAGGGGAGAAGAGTGGTTCCTTTTCTCCACTCCCCAAATCCCTACCCTTCCATTATTTAATGTCTCTCTATCATCTCTTATGCGTTTGGAGCTATTTTGTGAGGTGTGGATTCTCCCCTGTGGGGCCACACCTTTCCAGGGTGGTGGTAGCTTCTAGGATCTGGTCTCCACCCTACTGGCTGTTTGGAGGAGAGCAGAAGCCTCCTGGGAGTGGAGCCTAGGGGGCCCGGATGCCCGGAGATAGGGGTGGGGAGGGATGTGCTTCAATAAAGAGTCTTGCTTGCTTTTGGCAACTCATGCCAAATGGTTGCTGCGGCCCTTCCCTTGCTCGGGAAGGTCTGGTGACCACCCTGGCTTGTATCCCTTAGGCCGAGGGGATTGTTGTGCTGGCCTTAGGCTATGTGGTGCTCCTCCACCCCTCTCCCTTGGACTGCCTGAGCCTTGTAGAGCTGAGATAGTGAGTGACTCTAGTAGTCTTGATAGGATCTGAGGATCCTGGAGGAGAGGCATGGGGGTCCCAGTTCTTTGGGTGTGTGCTGAGCTTTGGTTGCCACGTTGCTGTATTCCAGACTTGCTGCCAAGTCATTCTTGCCTTTCCAGAACACTGTCTTACAGAAACGCCAAGTTTTCAACAAGTATGTGTCTCCCATTTTTTAAAAATTGCTTGTGGTTTTATGATATGGGGCTTTTCCAAACTTGGCTCACCCACCCCAACAATACACAAAGTGAGAGAGGATGGTTTCAAAAAGAGGGTGGGAGAAAAACGCACTGCCTCTCCCAGCACAGGATTATTAAGATCCTTCCAGGAGCCTCCCTTTGGATTTATCTTTCTGTGTGTTATTCCTTGATTCCTTTTAAGGTGTGGCTTTCCCTAAATTGGTGAGCGATGTCTGGGAATAGACTTTGCCCCATGACCTCTCTTTCCTAGTGGCATCTCTCCTCAATTCTGAGATATCTTGCCTTTAAGTACAACTTGGTCAGGCTGGAAGTTGTCTCGAAGTTGCCTTAACCAGCCTCTCAGTTAAAAGTGACAAAGAAAATTACTTGGTGGTCCTTTTCCTGAGTATGTAGAGAGACGAATCTGAGCAGTTTGAGGTCAGGCCTCGGGTACTGAAGGTGAATACTAAAGGCATTTCTATGCAGATTAATTGCAACGAATCAAATTGTATGGAGAGGGCTGAATTTTGATAGCCTTGAAACTTTGGAGACTTTTCCATGCTGTTTGGCTCAAGGAATGGTCAACCTTTAGGAGAAATCAACTATATTAAGCCTATTAAGATCATAGAATCTTAATTTGAAACCGATCTAGTACAACTTCTTTCTTTCTCTCTTTTAAACTAAGATATTTAGGCACATGGTGATAGAACCAAGATTGGGTTCCAGGCTTTTTGATCATCCCATTGGCCCACTATTCTGACTCAAATGATGGGGTTCTTGAAGTTGAATATCTTCTCCTACCCAAAGAAAATTGCCCCCTATTCTCAGGCTTTCCTAGTCCTCAGATGAAAGGAAATTGATAATTTGGGCAAAGTAACCAACGTTGTTGTTCCTGTGATCTACCGCTCAAACTTGGGGGTGACACAGGGTGCTTCCTGTTACTTTTCTCAGTCCTTATCCCAGTGCTGAGGCATCCAGGGGCACACCCTAATTCACTGTATTACCAGCTAGTAACTTTAATGAGGGGAGAAAATTCCCTGTTCTCCACTCCTTCACTAGTGTGCTTCAGGCTATTTCTGGAGTATGACATACAAGGGAAGGGTAGTGGAAAAATAAATCCTTTCATTCATATGAACTCTGTCTACACAGTGTCTGGGGTTGGTTTCACTTTTACAGCCAGTTGTCACCCATAGTCAGCCCAGCCTACCTTAAATCTGTTAAAATATGCCCCTCTGTTCTCCCTCACCACCGATTTTTGGATTCTACTGATAGTTGCCAGTTTTCTGAGTCTGGTTTAGTAGCTGGAATGGAGAAACTTAGTAACTGCCATCCACATTTTCTGGTAATGATAAGGCAGTTGTAAAAAAAGGAAGGTCTTTTCCCCTCCCAATTCTTTTTAACTTTTTTTTTTTGAATCACAAAGTTTTTGGGACCCTGTTTGGAATCCCTAAAAAGAGATTGTTTTGAATTCTCAATGGGTTCTTGAGTTTTTGGTTTGGAGTTGGAAAGACTCCTCACAACTAAGTCCCACCTTTCTCCTTGTATAGTTGGGGAAACTGAGACCCACAGATAGAGAGGTACTGATATAGAATGAGGCAGCATGTCAGTAGCAAAGCTAGGACTGGAATCTAAGTCTTAGAGGGTCTTTTCTTGGTACAACCTCTTCAGTTTGCTGGATTTTTAGTCTTGACTCAACAGATTAGGGGAAAGGTGATCAGGCTGTCACTGATGGGATCATCTATGTGAGCAGATGTAGAGTCTGGCTTCTTGAAGGTTTCTGGCTCTGCATTTGGCTAAACTTTAACAGGGGCTATGTGGACTGTTTATTCTCTTGCCATTCCTAGCATTGCTTGAGCCACTCGAGTGGCACTAAAGTGGTACTTTGTGACTAGGGTCAGAACCCTTGAACCAGTCCTGTCTGTAGAGCACAGGGTGGGGCGAGGGATCAGGAATGGATGTTATGTGGGAGAGGGTGACTGTTTGGGTCCTGCGTTTCTCCACTTCTTTGTTTCTCCAGTTCATTCAACCCTTTGTGAAAGTGTGGATTATAGAGAAAGAGCAGGAGCAATCTGGGGGATTTCTTCCAGGCTTCTTGAATAGCCTTTTGGGCAGAGAAGGGTTGGTGGGGCAAGTGCCTTCCTGGGACCCTTAAAGGTACCAACTAATCTATACTCTCTCATGTTAGGCTTGGAGAGGGGAAGATCGTTCTGTGAGTGGGTCACAGAGGTAGTAGGCTAACTCTCCCTTATTCTTTAGCTACCTGTAACAGTAGCTTGTCCTAGAGATGTTCTTCCTTTCTCTCTCTGTTACCTCTCAGAGATGCTTTACTGAGCAGTGATGCTGGAAGGGACATTTTGAGGTCATCTGGTCTATCTCCCTGACTCCAAATCCAGTTCCCTCTGGATGAGATGAGATGACAGCCACATTTATGCTAAATTATATTCTAATAGTGTTGCTTGGCAACAGCTCTGCCCAGGTCTCATTGTGTCTTCCTGGAAATCCCCCTCACTGGAATTTCTAGACTCAAGGTCCCCAGAGGGGACTAGAGATGGCTACCAACAATACTAGGACTGGGACTTTCCTGGCTAGAGCTGCTGAAAATTGACATCCTTACAGGTTGGGAACAGTCTGTTTCTGTACTTCCAAAGATATAACTGCGTTTATCATGTACATTTTGCCCAACTCACAGTGTTTTCTTCCTGACCCACCCTACCTAGTCTTCTGCCCCAAAAGGGAAAAGAAAGAGTGTACATCTGGTTTCCTTTGGGGCAGTCTCTTGGTCAAGTGGAAGGAGCTGGTCTTGTCATGGTTGACTGGCTTTGCTGTTCATTGCTCCTCCCATTTCATGCTTGATAGAGCTGAAAAACTTTTCAGTTCCAGTTCTGATTTGTGGTACAAGAGCAGTCACTTGGAGGGTTAGTTCAGGACTTCATTGATTTGTAAGGTGGGTGTTGGGAAATGGCAAGTAACACTGAACTGAGAATTTTTCTTCTTCTCTATTCATGTAAGAACATCTTCCCTGTTCTCAGTAATGACATCCAAATGAAGTGGGCTTTTAGGCAAGTCCTTTCTTCAGGCTCTCAGTCTCTCTTGCTTGTCGTATGGGAACCATATTAGGAACAGGTACACTCTTGGTGCCCTTCCAGTACTGATGTTCTTGAGAGCCTTGATGGTACAGACTCAAGCCTTCTATTTATATATTTATTCTTTTAGACATTCTTTCCTCAAAATTTGAGTGCCTTCTATGTACCAGGCAGTGTGCTAGGCTATGCTGGCAATGCAAAGTTGAATAGCCACTTGCTAAAATGCGTTTTTTTGTCCCTCTACACCTCTGGAGTGCTGGTTCTTCCTGGGTCCTAAGTTCAGAATAGAGAGTTTCTAGCTTGGGAGTTGGTTTCATTAGTAGTTCCTACAAGAACACTGGCATGAGTGTTCTCAGCCATTTCTTCTATCATCTTGGACGTGAAAGGGCTAATTACTGAGGAACAAAAAGGAAACCCAGTGAGACTACATTGTGAAGGCTGTGGGTTGACTGAAGAGGCTCAAACACTGAGAATTTAAGGGTCCCCCCCCTTTCTTCTCACTGTGTGCTGGTAGCCAGACTCTACATGTGCTCACATGGATGATCCCATCAGTGACAGCTTGATCACCTTTCCCCTAATCTGTTGAATCAAGACAAAATCCAGCAAACTGAAGAGGTTGTACCAAGAAAAGGCCCTCTAAGAC